CTTCTCCCTGTTCGTGTTTTGTGTCTTGTCGTCTCTTCATCCTTACTGTCTCTCTCATGTATGTGTGCGGGTTTAACAGTCACATCATCATCATCAACAACAACAACAACAGCAACATCATCACCGCTTTTTTTTTTTCTTTGCTGCTGTTGTTTTCCGGATGAACAAACAACCTGTGCTGATTTTCCCCTTCAGATTCAGAACTTCGGAGCGAAGCCCGCCCTGGTGTCCCTTTACGCTAAGACAGCCGCCAAGGCCTTCGAGCCTGCCTTCCAGACCACAGGGGAAGTCTCGTACGAGACATCGCTGGCACAGGTAGGAGGAGGGCGGGGAGGAGGACGGGGTCTCGCCATGTTTTGCGTGCCTTAGCGGCTAGACCTTTGGCCACGCGTCCACGAGAGGAAGAGGAGGAGGAGGAGGAGGAGGAGGAGGAGGAGGAGGAGGAGGAGGAGGAATCAAGAGTCGATTAAGCGTACCGAGCACTTCGTATTTAGCGTAACCTCGCCAGCTTTCCCTTCTCCTCCTGTGGAGCAAGATCAACTTTTACATTCTAGCACCTCACTCGTCGTCGTTAGTGTCCGTGCGGCATACGTACGTCTATGCTGGCTGGCGCAGCGCAACACTGTTTTTTTTTTTCATCTGAGGCTGACGATGTAGTGAATTGCTTTTACCGCAATGTACTCTTTTTACTGTATGTAACCTAGTGTGCGATGTTTGTCTGTACGCCCGCCAAGGGAGAGTCGCGCGCTTCCCCTCTGTTTTCTTTGCGCTTGCAGACAGGTGCGTTTTTTTTTTGCGATGATTCCAGAGAGCACTACAATATCATGGCCAGCCGTGGAACTGCTATGCTGCTGTTGCCTGGCTGAACTGGACCAGGACTTAGTCCGAGTAGTAGTCTAATGGTGGTATGCTTACCCGTGTCGAGCAGCGGCCCGTTCATGCTCCAGCCCGTTCGTTCCAGTCCCGAGGCAGCACCTGCAATCCCGCGACCCCCAGCGCGCGCCTCGAATTCGACATGGGGATAAACTGAGAAAAAAAATATCGAAAAGAGAACCCCGTCACTACCTTGCCTCAAGTCGACACCGGGGAATAGTCTACGCGAACAAGAAAATAATGTATTGGGAGTCTGGATTGATTGCTATACAGTATCAGAGATGGTGTTATACCTCCCGAAATGTGTAGTAACCCTAAGTAATCCTTACCCTCGCCTCCCTCTGCTTTCCCTCGCGGCTTGGTCAACGCTATGTACGTGCGTGTGCTCGCTGGTTGGTTGGTTGCCGCGTCCTTGATTCGTCTGGTTGTGGAACGCGATCGCGCCGGCCTCGATCTCGATCTCGATCTCGACCTCGACCTCGACCTCGACCTCAACCTCGACCCCCAGGCGATCCACTGGCAAAAGTACATCACCGACGGCCTCCCCGTGTCCGACACCGAGGTGAGACACACACAGAGAGAGAGAGAGAGAGAGAGAGAGAGAGAGAGAGAGAGAGAGATACGGACATGTACACGGAGGCGTTTTTGTCGTTGTTGTTGGTGGTGCTTTGATATCTATCATCAAAGCCTCCGGTGTGTCTCAGGATGTGTCATTTGTTTTCTTGCTGCAATGGTACTATGTAGTCATCTTATCATGCAGCAGATATGGTCTACGCCGTCGACAAGTTGCCGGACAAGAAAGTCTGTCTATCCTCCGGCGGCTGGTCGAGCAAAACCAAGGAGTCCTTTTCGACCGTCACTTTCCCGCCAACCACACTTACTTCTACCGTACAGGTTGGGTTTCTCGCTTCTCGCTCTCACTTCTTCTGTCGTCGAACACAGCACCACTCCAAAAGCCGATTGTTCTCGTCGGCGACAAACGCCTTCCCCCCCGATCGGATGGTCCGTCCGGTACACGTCGATGACGTCACCATCGCTCTTCTTCTTTCCTTGCGTCATCGTCGTCGATTCCGTTGCGCTATCTGTCGATATTCTGATTTTTTTTTTTTTGTCAGGTGTGCATTAAGTGCGATCCAGACTTCACCAGGTAAGCGGTACAGGTTGGCATGCGCACTAGATATTGCCGCCCTGGAGTCTTTCAAACTTTCGCGTTACGGGAGTATTAATAGTGTTTTAGTGGGGGAAGGCCCTGGTTTTTTCTCTTCTTTTCCGATGGGATGCGCATCAACCAGCAGTGGCACCGACGAAACTTTGGGGATGACTGGTTGTAAGCTTGGCATAACGGGCAAGATGTGGGCTGCTCTCACCCTCCCGTTGAAGTTAGCTGGAAGAAGACGAGAGTGCCTCGTCCCCGTGGGGTGGCAGGATGATAGGGCACCTACCTGTGTGTGTGCTGCATCGTAGTGTCTGTCATGACTTGGCGCACTGCCATGTTCATCGGTGATGGCCATGCCTTCACATGCAGCCGTTCCGTTGGAATAATACCGTTTTTCGTGTCACTGGAGTAGGAACGTGTCCTGCAGCAACATTAGCACCAGGCGAAAGGCGTGCTTATGACAAAAACGCTGCCGTACAGTCCGAAAAATACAGCAACATTTCCTGTTGTCACTGCTACAAATTGTCGTTTGTGAGTAACAGTACCAATATTTTTTCCCGCGTCGAAACACGTTCTTCCTGCTTCTTTTTTATATTACTCTTGGTACGATGTTCCTTTCGGCGCTGCAGCGCGTACAAGGCCATCCACGAGACGATCGCCATCGTCAAGAACTTCGCGGAGGTGGAGGACACAATGCCGCTCAACGTTGCCATGGAGATGCGCTTCACCAAGCACAGCGATAGCCCCCTGAGCCCTGGCTACGGAGTCGAGGTGATTTATCCCCCAAAAACAAATCGGACATAATAAATAGCGTGAAAAGTGGGGTGGGGATCAATTGTCCTCGACATACACTTGGGGGGACATTTGAGTACCCTTTACGAAGGAGATCTCAACCTTAGATAATGTATATTCGGCTTCAGATCGTCAGACCAGGGCAATCAAGCCGCACATTGTCTGCCGTGTCGTCCCCCCCCCCCCCTCGCCAAGCACACCGCTTGTACGGCGGTGTGTATGATCTGACTGCATCAAAACCGCCTCTCCACGAGCTTTACGTAAAACGGGCGAACACACGCACACCGGAACAAGGCGCGCACACGGTACACGGTGTCAGAAGAAACGCCCAACGACCCCCCCCCCCCCCACGATCGCTCACCTCCTAAATGGGCCACATTGTTC